TTGCTTGCTTGCTTGCTTGCTTGCTTGCTTGCTTGCTTGCTTGCTTGCTTACTGAGGCAGGGTTCCAGTGTGTGGTTCTAAAACTCACTGTAGACCAGGCCTTGAGCTGCAGAGGTCCACCTGCCTTTGCCTCCTAAGAACTTTGATCAGAATGTACACCACTGGGTCAGCTAATCTGGCCCTTACTGACCGATGCAGCCTTCATAGCAGCCTGTGGAACTGCTGCTGCTTTTACCCTCAACGTAGAGTTGAGGGAAACTGATGCTTTGCAGCTCTCTGGCCAGAAGGGACAGTGTGGGCTGCTGCCCACCTCACGCTTAGAGCAAGGTCATCAGGGGCTCAGGTCCTGGGGCTGCCTTTCCCCACATGTCTGGTCTCCATTGGATGTGTGCCCTCACCTCCAGCACTTCCTGATCCATTGGGCCTGATACACCAAAGTCCAGCTATTTTAATGACCAAGCAGTGGCACAGGTCCATCTGGCTGTGCTGTGGTATCTGTACATCCCTGATTATCTTCTTAAAATTCTCAGGCCAAAGACTGCTTAGAGTTTTCCCATTAGTTTATTTTGTGTGTATGAGGGAGTGGTAGGCACACAGGTGTGCGTGTGCCATAGTACCTGCTATAGAGCGAGGGATAGCTTGTCAGTTCTCTCCTTCTATCATGTGGGTTCTGAGGCTAGAGGTAAGGTTGTCAGGAATAGTAAGTGCCTTTCCCCACCGAGCCATCTCAGTGGCCCTTAAAAGCTTCTTAACTCTGTCTTTGAGCCGTGTCTTCCTGGCTTCTCTCAGCAGGTAGACGAGCTCACACCTTCCAGAATGACCAGTGCTGCCCCTGCTAAGAAACCTTACCGTAAGGCACCCCCAGAGCATCGGGAGCTGCGCCTGGAACTCCCTGTGTCCCGGCTTGAGCAAGAGGTCAGCACGACTGGTATCTCACCCTGGCTGGCAGAAGCAGGCCCCTGAAGGCAGCTGTCAGCTGGCTTCTCAAGCCTGAGATGCTGGTCCTGTGTTACGGCGAGAGCCTGGCCCTGCTGATACGGCTGTGGCAGTGTGGCTGGGTGCCTGTGCGCTCACACGTCAGGGAGTCTTAGTCTGAGCAGCTCAGCAGAGTCAGTCTCACATGCTGCAGTCCTCCCTGTAGCAGCCAGCCCACTGGATGTCCACGCCCCTGCTGTGGGAAGCTGGACCCCAGGGCGCGTAGTGATGGAGGAAAGGCATTCAACTTTGGCCTTGGTAGGGAACCTAAGGAGAAGCCGCTCCAGCTGCTTTCCACCATAGCCACTGTTCTCTTGTCCCTCTGAAGTCTGGCCTTTCCTCCAGTTTTCCTTTGTTCAGCTAACATGATGACTTCATGCTCTGTCAGGAACCATGTTAGGCTTGCTCTATGGTCAACTACAGACACTCTCATTTGGCTGTCTTCCCTTGTTCCAGTGAGAATGGATGGTTTACTCAGCATGCGCGCGCGCGCGCGCGCACACACACACACACACACACACACATACATATGCACGCACGCTCTGAGTGCACAGAGTGTTGATTGCAATTCAGGGAGCAGTAGGTAAAACTTTCAGTTTTTATGCATTTTCTTGGTGCCCTGGTTTATAAATGAAGAAACAAAGGTTAAATGAGATGAAGCCTTAACCAGTGTATTACTGAGTAGGGTCACATCCAGCGATCAGGCTCTTGAGTCCGTGATCTGAGCCATCTACCCAGTGGCTTCCTCATGGCCTTCGGGAGACATCTAACGTAGTCCTCTGTGTGTCCCTCCTGCATGGCTCGCTTCTATGACATAGCCCCTTCCAGGGCTGTTTGGAGTGTGAGCCAACCAGGAGGCCAGTAGTCTGGAGCTGAGTCTCAAACTTTTCCTCTCTTTGTCCAGGAGCCCCTTACTGATGCAGAGAGGATGAAGTGAGTATTGGCTACCATCACTGTCCTGTGCATTGTGCCCCTTTTCACTCCCTGTGAGGCAGTTGCTACTACCAGGCTCAAGAACCATACATTGCATTAAAAACAAACAGAAATTGTAGAAAATACTACTTTTCAGTAAGTTTATGATTTGTGTTTGGCTGCATCCACAGCCTTCTTCAGCCACATGCAGCCCGTGGAACTCATGCTTGGCAGAGCTAATGGTGGGTGTTTTAGGCTCATGTGGTATATGTTCTGACTTTTCCTTGATCCATGGGTACATGTTCTGAGTTTTCCATGATCATGTGCCCTTGCACAGAGCCCTTGCCCTGGCTCCAGAAAACAGTGACCTATCTGTGCCAGTTTCCTCTTAAGGTCCTGTCAGCCATGTGAAGCCTCCTGGAGGACAGCAGTGCTGGCCTGGATTCCCAGGAGATTAATAATGGAGAAGCCTGATTGTGAAGGGGAAACTAGAGCTGCAGGGCTTGTTGGCCTGCTGGCTTGGGTGGTAACCAGAGACAGGTTGGGAGCTATATCGCCTTTTGATTCTGACCTAGTTTTCGTCTATATTGGGGAGGGACAATATGGAATGTTCTAAACCATACACTCTGCCTCCACACCATCACTTCCCCAACCTACGCCTTTCTCGAGGTCAGAGGACCTGTGCCTCAAGTCTCCTTAGCTAGACTGAGGCTAAAGGGACCCTTGCCTGTCTTTTCCTTTCTCAGTCCTGTGTGGTGCTCTAGGGTTAGCTGTCTTTGATGGCTCTCTGCCCCCTTCTCCAGACTTTTACAGCAGGAGAATGAAGAACTTCGCCGACGCCTGGCCTCGGCCACCAGACGCACCGAGGCCTTGGAGCGGGAACTGGAAATAGGGCAAGACTGCCTAGAACTGGAGTTAGGCCAGAGCCGTGAGGAGCTGGACAAATTCAAGGACAAATTCCGCAGGTGTGGGAACAAGGGTCAGATGGCTCCCCATTCATAGGAGGGTAGCTGGGAGAGCCTCAGATCCCACCTGATATTATTTAGGAATCCAGATTTTGGCCAAGTGTCATGGTGCACGACTGTAATCCCAGTACCCAGGAAGGCAGAGACAGGGGAGTTTGAACCTAGCCTACAATGTGAGTTCCAGGAAAGTCAAGGCTACACAGAAAAATCCTGTCCAAAAAAAAAAGAAAGAAAAAAACCAAATATTGGAAGGAGAGGGACTTTGCTAAACTTCCATGAAGAAGTTGTTGGTAGGGTCTAAAGAACAGGACTTGACCAGGTCTCTGCCTTGTGTCCTGTAGGCTGCAGAACAGCTACACAGCTTCCCAGCGGACCAACCAGGAACTCGAGGACAAGCTGCACACACTGGTACTGTGATCACAGCTTAGCAGTGGGCCAGGACTTGCCAAGGGGGAACATTCACCCTGGGTCTTGGGAAGGGTAGGGCAGGGCAGTGGTGGGGAGGGGACCGCAGAGTGCTGTGCCAGTCAGGACTGTCTTAATGCTCACACTGTTCTCTTCTCTCCTCGTCTGCCCCTCATGCTGCCACCGCTGCTGCTGCATTCTCCTCTCAGGCCTCTCTTAGCCACAGCTGGATTTTTGCAGTTGCGTCTGAGTTTGTGTTCTTCTGCTCCTGGCCTCCTTGGTCCATGTCAGGGATTGTGGGCCCTGGCTGTTTCCCTCTGCCCCTTGAGCACATCCACTCTTCTCCTGTCACCGTGAGGCTCACAATGCCTCCCTCCTGGGAAAGAGCTAGAGCTAAGGTTCTGCTTAGGCTCTGGCAGAGGTACTGATTGCTATCCCTCAGAGCATTCCCACCTTCCCAGCTGCAAGCCCAGGCTGGTGGTACATTTTCAGAGAGCTGAAGATCTGTTTTTCATCCTGCAGTTTCCTCCCTGCCCAGCCAGCTAATCTCACAGGTGCCCCACTCCTAGCCTGACCCTGGAAACAGCTGCTCACACAGGCTTTAGTCCCTGCCTGTAGTTACTGCCTCTGAGATGTCAGTGCCTTGGCCAGTGCCCAGAGTCCCTATCAAAGGATGTATAGTTCTTAGCCTGCTTCTGTCCTGGGTTCCAAGGCAGTAGGTCCTACTCAGAAAGCTCCCTCTCATGGAGAGTCTGCAGAGCAGGAGAAATGCTGAGTCTCCTTTTGTCTGTCATTTGTCTGCTCTGTCTGCCTTGGCTGCCCTAGCACCTGTGGCCTTTATGTCTCTGGGCTAGGTGGTGGAGGAGGAGAGGGCTGGTTGGGGTCGGAGCTGGGTTTACCACAAGTCTGTGCCTCAGATCAAGAAGGCCGAGATGGATAGGAAGACGCTGGACTGGGAGATTGTGGAGCTGACCAACAAGCTACTGGATGCAAAGAACACCATCAATAAGCTGGAAGAGCTCAATGTATGTGCCCACCCTCAGCTTGGTTCCATCCTCTTCCCTCGGGTGGGCTGGGCTTTATGCATGTCCTTGTGTCCAGGAGCGGTACCGGCTGGACTGCAACTTGGCTGTGCAGCTCCTCAAGTGCAACAAGTCCCACTTCCGGAATCACAAGTTTGCGGATGTGAGTGACACACCTGCCCAGCACTATGCAGGCTTTCAAGACTCCATCCAGCTTCTCTGTCTCTGACTCCCCTTTCCGTGGTTCCTGACTTTTGCTCCCTACTAAGGTCCTGGGTGCTGCTGAGGGTCCATTGCTAGTGTTGGGGCTGGCTCTGTAACGTCTTCTTCTGTCTGAGGAGCCTATGCAAGACGAAGGGGTGGCCAGAGCTAGTAGCCATGAGTAAAAAAGCCCATCTGATCCCATCCCTCTCAGGGGCAAAGCATCTGACTCTGAGCTTCAAACCCAAGCTCTGTCTGGCCCGTAGAGCTGTAGACTCTTAACAGTATCTACAGTTGATCTCCCAAGTATGGTTTTGGTACAGGCCTCTTGAGACAGGTGTTTGATGCTTCGGTGTACACAGGCCTTAGCAGTTGGTCTGGTTAACTGCTTATTATTTTAGCTTTTTCTGTGTCATGAGGTTGTGTAGAGGCTTAAAAGCTGAGTTTATGTGGGTAATTGGGACACAGTGGCCAGTGTTTTTGCTATGGGTCAAGCTCTCGTCAGTGGGGCGCATTCATGCCTCTGCCTTCTCTTCTCCTAGCTACCCTGTGAGCTACAGGACATGGTTCGGAAACATCTGCGGAACAGTCAGGAGGCTGCCAGCCCCAGCCCTCCTTCCAGCCTGGCCCCAGGGGCTGTGGTGCCTACCTCAGTCATTGCCCGGGTGCTGGAGAAACCCGAGTCCCTCCTGCTTAACTCAGCCCAGTCAGGCAGTGCTGGCCGCCCCTTGGCTGAGGATGTATTTGTGCATGTGGACATGAGTGGGGATGTGCCAGCTGACTCAGCCACCTCCCCTGCCCCTGGCAGTCCCTCTCCACAACCCAATGGGGAATGCTGTTCAGTGAGTACTGCAGGGGGCTCCCCAGAGGAGGAGCTGCCCCTGCCAGCCTTTGAGAAGTTGAGTCCCTACCCTACCCCATCTCCACCACACCCATTGTATCCTGGTAGGAAGGTAATAGAGTTCTCTGAGGACAAGATTCGAATTCCTCGAAACAGCCCCCTACCCAACTGCACCTATGCCACTCGACAGGCCATCTCCTTGAGCTTGGTGGAGGAGGGGGGTGAGCGGGTCCACCGCAGCCCAGTGCCTAGCAGTCCTGCCTCAGCCCAGGGCTCACCCCATCACCAGCCCAGTCCCGCTCCCTCAGCACTGAGTGCCCCAGCGAGCTCCGCCAGCTCTGAGGAGGACCTGCTGGCCAGTTGGCAGCGTGCGTTTGTGGACCGCACCCCGCCTCCTGCTGCTGCGGCCCAGCGCACAGCCTTTGGACGAGATGCGCTCCCTGAGCTGCAGCTGCATTTCTCCCCGAGCCGCTCTGAAGCCCCATCACCTTCCCTACACCACGAGAGTAGACTTTTGCTGCCAACAGAACCTGACGCTGGCTTTCCCAGGGAAGAGGAAGAGGAAATGCTGAACCTGCCTGTCAGCCCTGAGGAAGAGCGCCAGAGCCTGCTTCCTGATAAAGAGGGCACAGAGGAAGGACTGAGCCCTTCCCACACTGATGGCAGGGCCTGGCCACTCCCCAGTTCCAGCCGCCCCCAGCGCAGCCCCAAGAGAATGGGAGTACACCACCTGCACCGCAAGGACAGCCTAACTCAGGCCCAGGAGCAAGGCACCCTGCTCAGTTAGGTCTACTTGCCTTCCTGCCATCACCTCTCAGGGTTGCACATGGCCCCTGAACTCTTCCCTCAGACCTGGCCAGCTCTGTTCCCTATGTGAATGGGGCGCCACACCAAATCTTGTAGGCTGCTCCAGCACTGACTGGGTCCTTTCATCTCTTGGAGTATTTATTCTCTGAAGGTAACAAGTCGTTTGGGAGCTCTTTCCTCTGCCCAGTCAGCCCAGGTGTTTTCAGGGAGGTGATAATGGGCTTGTCTGTTCATCTCCATTCTCCTTTCATATGCAAGAGCTTTGGTTGTTGGGAGGGTATCATTGGTGCGGCTGACCTGATCACTTTTCCCCTGTATGAGCTGCTCTTAGGCCTGGCCCACTTGGCCAGGGACAAGGGTGGACTCACTCAGGGTTCTCCTCAGCTGTTCCCACTCGCCCTTCCAGAGTGGGCGGGACTTCAGGGGCCTCAAGCTAGGCTCTGGGTGAGGGCCGGCCCCCTCTTAACCTTGGCTCAAGACTGTTGCTCCCAGATTTGGGTAATTTTCACAACAATGGCTATTTTAAAATAAATAAAACTTATTTTACAGCTAAGGCCTAATTTGCCTTAATGACCTTCTCCTTCCCACTTTAATCCCATTCTTGTAGCATGGACTGGCCTGGAGCTCCCAGATCCACCTGCCATTGCCTCCAGAGTGCTAACATGAAAGGAGTTCACCACCATGCCTTCCCAGCACTTTGTAGTGGTTGTGTGTGCGTGCACACAGGTACAGGTACCCCCAGAGCTGCAGTTATATGTTATTTAAGTATTTCTAGTCCAACCTTTCCTAGTCTGCCAGAGACGCCCCTTTACCCCGTTCTGCCTGACTTCCCTCAACCCGAAGCATGGGGGTGGGGGGATGGGAGTGGTGCTCAGGTAACTTAACAGCAGGGCTAATAATAAGCCTCTCAGAAGGAGGGTCCCATTCAGCCCAGCTCTTGGCTCTAATCTTCAGGTGCCTGGATTCCCAGGACCCCCAGGTCCTAGATATAGGCTGAAGCACCCCTAATGCTGATTGGTAGTACTGCCGGGCCCTCCCGTTGGTCATCCCCCAGTGACTACAGCTGCAAGGCAGGTTATGGAGTTTATAAAATCTGTTCCGAGCCAGCGGGTTGCAGCCAGAGCTGCCAACAAGTTCAAGTCCCCCCGCCCCCCAAGGCCGTTGCCCAGTGACAGCTTCCACCACTACCAGGAGCTGCCAGAGCCCCAGCCAGGGCCTTTCCCTGCCACGTGGAGGAAGATAGTTGGGGTACAAACATAATGATGCACAGAAGCCCAAGTGGAGAGTCACATCTCGGTCTCAGCCAGCAGACTGTCCCCTAGTCCTGATGTCATTAGCACCATCTGAGAGCTGGGATCTGTGGAAGGGCAAAGGACCTTCAGGCCACCATTCATTCCTCAGTGGCCTCACACATAGGGGACAGACAAGGCCTGGCTTCCCGCCATCACCCCCTTTTTTCCAAATCTTTCAGACCTAACTGTCCAGGTTCTTACCGCTGGGGCACATCCAGGAGCTGCCACCCCGTTGGTGGGCAGCAGGCTCCCGTCCTCTCCCCCATTCCTGGGTGTTGATAGCCCCTCCTGCCACCTCTTCTTCTTCTTCCCCCTCAGAGAGGAGGTCACAGATCTGCTGCTGCAGCTCTGGGCTAATGCTGTTCTCAGCCAACACCAGGCTTCGCAGAGCTGTTGGGTAATTTTCTACCATGTCCAGCAGAGTCTGGAGAAAAGAGAAGTGCACAGAAAAGAATAAACACAGGAGAGATGGCTCAGTGATTAGGAGCAATGGCTGCTCTTTTAAGGGCCAGGGTTCAATTCCCAGTAACCACATGGCTGATCATTGAGCTTTGAACTCCAGTTCCAGGGTGTGTGACACCACCTTCTGGCCTACACAGGCACCACAGACAGACAGACAGGCAAAACATTCACTCACATAAAATAATATTAAGTTATAACAATTTTAAAAATGAATACAATTTAGGCTGCCCTTTTAATCCAACTGGCTAGCCTTGGTTATGTTCCCAGACACAATCACTCACCCTGTCCCCTAGCTTGTCTCCAAAACATGATGGCTTCTCACCTGAGCTGACTGGTTGGTGAGCCCTGTGCCCTCCAAGTCTAGGACTTCTAGGGTACGGCTCGAGGCCACAGCTACAGCCAGCATCCCTGCCACGTGGTCACCTAGGAAGATAGCACAAATGCTCGGCCATCTGGGGTAACAGGTCTGTTAATCCTTACTCCTGCTCAGGCCTGTCCGGGAGACACGGGTGTGGCCAGGAAGGGAGCGTGCTGAGTGAGATGGAGCATGCCAGATCCAGGGGTTCTGACAGGCTTTAACCTACCTGTTGGCCATCTGGTACTCCACGCAGGATGACTCCCTTACTAGACCCTTGGAGGTTTTCACTCATTCTCTGTCCCTCCAGTTACTGTGGTAACTGGTGATCTGCGGATTTTGGATGGGGCAGGAGCAGTAAGGATTGAGGGGGATGATCGTAAGCTCACCCAGGGGGTTGTAGTCCAGGTTGAGGACTCGGACTTGGGAGCTGTGGGCCACAGCAATGGCGAGGCGGCTCCAGCCCTTAGGAGTGATGCCAGGGTTGGCGCTCAGTGTTAGCTCCTTCAGACCTAGGCAGCAGCACAGAAAGAATCTAGCATGGGTAGAGTAAGGCCCCTCTTCACCCTGTGTCTATGGGGTAATCCTATGGCCGGGAGCCACCTCGCCCTCAACCGCAGCAGTTTAAGGACCTACTCACGCCTCCCCCTCCTGGATCAGTCTTTCCACTTTGCTCAGTTTCTAGGCTTCTCCCCTCCTGAGAAGGTTAAAAAGACCTTCTTACTGCCCCCTCCCAGCTCTCAGCACCGGGCCACACCCCCTTCTCTGCATTTAGCCTTCATCAGTCACACTAGCCCATGCACTGAGTAGGGCCCTGCTCACCAGACTTGGCCCCGTCTGGAGGGAGGAGGCCACAGATGAGGTTGATGGCTTCATCACCCAACATGCAGTCCCCCAGGTCAAGAGCCACGAGGGCAGGGTGGAGAGCCAGGGCTGGGTTCAGCAAGGCCAGTCCCGCATCTGTCAGTGGGCTCCCATGTAGGCTGAAGGTTGAGATGAGATTAATTATGTATCACCAGCCTTATTTGGGAAAGATGCCCTCCCCGAGACCAGAATGGGAATTCTGGATTCGAAGGAATAAGCTGGAGAGGGATTCTGGTTTCTTTTCTGGGGCAGTCACTGATAATGAGAAAGAACATTGCACAGGGAGGGCTGAGTGGATAGTGGACCGGGGAGCCAGCACACATGCTCAGGTTCTTCTGAGATCCTTCAGTAGGGAGGACTGGAAGGGCTGGGCTGTAGTCTCCATGGGAGGGAGGCTACCTTTCCACAGAAATGAGGGGGCTTCACAATGCAATAACTGGGAGAAGAGGGGAGAACAGCATTCCCTACCAGGAAGGACTAGGCATCCCAGCTCTCCTGAGGGTCCGCATGTGAGCAAAGTCTAAAAATGATGCACGTTTCCGGGAGGGTGTGGTGGACCCAAGACGAGATGTGCATTAGAGGGTGCAAAGGTAGGACTATGGGAAAACAGGTACTGGAAAGGGAATGTGCAGATACAGGAGGTGGCAGGGGGTGTGTAGAGGGGTGCAGTGGGCGGGACCCCCTTGCGAGGGGACACACTCACAAGAGGGACTGGATGGAGCGGTTGGTCCGCAGCGCTTCCGCCAGCTGCTTGATGCGGCTGGGGCTGGACACGACGCCCAGGTTAAGGTTGAGCTGCGCCAGGGACGTGGCTCCAGCTAGGGCCCGGCAGATGCGGCCGAAGTCACGGTCGCACAGGCGACAGCCGCGGAGCGAGAGCAGGCGCACGGCGTTGTCGCGCAGGCCGCGGCAGATGTCCCGCACCTCGGCGCCTGACAGCGGCTCCCCCGAAATCTGGATGGAGCTGGGCAGCATGGTCCCCACGGCTGGGCCTCGGGGGCTGGCGCCGGTGTCCCGGCCTGAGCAGAAGTTGGCCCGGCAGCGAGCGGGGGCGGGGCGGGGACTGAGGTCGCGGTGTCTGTCGGGGTCGCCGCCGGAGCGGAGGCGTTAGAGGCCGAGGCAACGGCGACTGTGGCGGCGGGGAAGCGCGCCCGGGCCGCGGCTGGAGCGAAAGCAGGCGCGGGCCGGGGATGCGGGGGCGCCGAGGTGGAGCGGCGCGGGGCCGGGGGCGGCCTGGGGACAGAGCTGCAGCCGCCCCGCGCTTGTCCTCTCCCTCGCGGCTTTGGAGGCCGACTGCGGGCCCCGGGCCCGGCAGCACGGCTCGCGGGGACAGCCGGGGCGGGATGCAGCTCAGCTTCAGCTGCTGAGCCGGAGCAGGCGGCTAGTTCCTATGGCAACGGTTGCGTCACTGGCTCTCGCCCCGCCCCCTCCCGTAAGGACCACGCGGCAGGCGCGCGATGCGTGTCTTAGAGTCAAGAACTAGGATCCGAGGGCCTGACAGCGTGGGAAGAAGATAGAGCGATGGAGGGAGGGGAGGGCGGAGGCAAGTCACGTTGAGTCAGCCTTTGTAGTCATTTAGGCCTCTTTTACTCTCAGGTGCGTCTCCATTCTTAAGGTCTAAAGAGACTGCGCCTTCACCAAGACCCTGGACAATTAGTCTTGCTTGGAAGTCCCTAAGGCCCTTTAATCAGGCCGCGCCCCGCCCCCATGCCCCAGTGACGCGAGGCGTAGTGTACGCGGGGATTCCGGTCCACAGGGACTTTTCGGTCAATAAGGCCACGCCCCGTAGGATCCCGAGGGTAGGGCAGGTGAACCATCCTTGAAGACGTTTTAACATACGGAGAAGGGGTGCCAAAATCAGAGGTTGTCGGATTAACCCAGCGGGCAGGAGCGCAGGGTGGAGCGCAGCAGCACAGTGCAGGCGAATTTTGTCCTGTGATTGCAAGGAGGGCTTCATTTGTGCAACTCGACTGCATATTAGGAAGAGGAAGCGCCATTTTTTCCCCCTTTGAAAAAGTGCGCCAGGGCCGAGCGTGGTGGTGCACGCCTTAAATTCCAGCACTTGGGAGGCAGAGGCAGGTGGATCTCTTTGAGTTTGAGGCCAGCCTGCTGTACAGACAGCCTGGGCTACAGAGAAAAACTGTCTCGAAAAACAAAGTGAGCAGACATAGTGGCGCACGTCTTTCATCTCAGCACTGGGGAGGCAGGGCAGGGGTCTATGGTCTACATGGCCAGTTCCAGGAAAGCCAGACCGTATCCCGCTCCTACCCCGCAAAAAGTGAAAGCCCTACTAACCTCTACTAATTCTTTTAACCATTTGAACTTACTTAAGTTTATGCATTTGTTTTTTTGTGTTTGTGTATACTACAGCTTTGCAGGTACCTGCAGAAGCCAGAAGACGGTACTAGAATTACAGGAAAATCTGAGCCGCTCAACCTGAATGCTGGGAACTGAGTTACTTGGTCCTTTACGGGAGCAGTACTCAATCCCTGAGCCATCTCTGCGGAAGCCGGCTTTTATTTTAACTGTTTATGCACGTGTCTATGCAGTGAGCACAGCTGCCCTTGGAGATCTTTGGAGTTGGAGTTACAAGCGACTGTGAGCCACCCAACACGGGTGCTGGGAATTGAACTCAAAGAGCAGGGTATGCTTTTTATCAACTCAGCATCCTGAATTTACTTCTTTGTGAAACAGAGTTTCACTGTGTGGCTCTGACTCGTCTGGAACTCACTTTGTAGAGCAGGTTGGCCTGGAAGTCAGAGATCCACATGCCTCTGCCTCCTGAGTACTAGGATTAAAGAAATGCACCACCACACTCAGCCTGATTTTGCTTCTTCAATGGAGGTTAAAGGACACTGGTGTCTAAGAATAACACCTGAAAACCTTTTAGAAAACTGGACCCTCAGTAAAACCATGTTTGGCTTCAAGTGTCAGCTCTACGGGGACATTATCTCTCAACAGCCCCGGTGCAGAAGGTCTCTGTAATGATGTAAGTGGAAGTTTTTGTTTGTCGTTGCTGCAATGGCTTCTCAAAAGGTCAGCCAGCCTAGACTGCGGCCTGGTGTGCATGTATACGCAGAGGTGGCTCTTATGCTTGGCGTCTGCCTGCTGCTCTGGGGTCAAGTATCTCCAGCCCTCATGGGCAGTTTCTATAATCAGCTACTGCCTTCTGTGTAGAATGCCTGTTCTTCTTTCATCCTGCCTGGGTGAGGGTACAGAAGGCACAGAACATCACCACTGCTGACAGAACAAAAACATGTATCAGAAGTGAGTGACAGGAGAATAGCTGGAACAGGAGCTGCAGTTCCAGACTTCAATCAATATTTTAATTACCAAGTCTATATTTAGCAAGACAGGAGGGGACAGGAGAAAAAAAAAAAAGGTGGGGTAGGTGGTGTGGGGCCTCAGAAGTGCTGACCCATATTTTGCACTTGGCTACAGAGGCTTGCAGTCCTGGCCAGGAGTTCCTGGCCCTGTGCCCTTCAGAAGCCAAGACCGGTGCTGAGGAAGTGTTTAGGCAGCTTAGTGGTTGCAGCAGACCTCACCAGAGAGACACATGTCCTCAGCACTGTCCTTTAATCTTCCTCTGCTCCAGGGCTGGGGGAGGGGTCAGGGCAGGTCAAACGTCTCATTTCATGTAGGGTCAGTGTGACTGCAGGGTCACTGCTATTGCCTTGGCGGTGGCATTGGCCACACTGACAGGAAGCCTGGCAGCAGGGAGCACAGCAGGGATGTCTCTGGGGACCCTCTGCATGGGTGGAATATTGGGGCCCTCCAGGGTGTCCAGGATCCCTGAAGAAGAAGGATGGAGAGCGAGTGAGAGCTGGCCAGGCAGGCCTCCGGCTCAGTCAGCCCACTGCCCGTACAAGCCGTCCTGCCACTTACCCTCTACCACTTTGTGGTAGGCAAAGTGCAGATAGAGCAGGAAGAGCATGTGCAGGGCAGCCAGCGTGCCACAGAGGAGCAGCCGCTGTGTGGGACCCACCGTCCGTGACACCAACACTGCCACCTAGGGCCAGAGGTATACAGTTCAGAAGGCCTGTTTTCAAAGTGAGGAATGGAGAAGATACTCCAAGCCTAGGGAAGGACTACCAAGTGTACCCTTCTAGAGCCCTTTATGAGGTGGACAGCAGAACCTGCTCAGCTTACCATGCGCAGGGTGGACAGCCCGCCCACCAACAGCCAGAAGAGGTAGAAGAGGGCATGAAGGTGAATGTTATAGGTGATGAACAGGACAATACAGTGCCCGAAGAGGCCATAGCCCTGGGGAGAGAGATGACAGGACCTTCACTTGGGCTGGACAGGCCTTGGGCCCCTCAGTGGGGTCCTTTGGCCTGCTCCTCCCATCCCAGGTCCACAGATCCCTTGAGAGCAACAAACCAAGACCTTCCTGATCTCAGGGCCCCTCTTGCCCACTCCCAGGCTCGGCTCCTTACCAGCAGTGCCAGCATCTGGAGCATGGTGATCTGGGCATTGCACAGGTAGGCAAGGAAATAAATGAAGGACGAGACACCCAGCCAGTATCCGAAGCAGGTGCCAATGGCTGTGCCCATCAAGGTGCCCTCCCGCTGTGGGGTGAAGGCTTTGCTTAGGACTGAGACACCTGTGGCTTCAGCCTCACCCAGAGCCATCGTATCCTCAGTTAGTTTTCAACCTACATCAGCCACCCATCTTCCCTGCTTACGATAATGGTATCAGAAGTCTTCATCCCATGCAGGAGGATGGCAACCAGTGTGAAGACCAGCATGAGAGGTCCATAGAGCTCACCTGCGACTTTCTGTGAAAACATGAACACATTCAGACTGGAGACTGCAATGCTTCTTCACACCTTCCCAGGCTTGGCCTGGTGGCCCACCCTCTCCCCTGATGCCTCCCCCTGTTCTGCAGACATGCTTTTCTCTATTCACCTGGGGGAAGCTGACCATCTTGATAGGGATCATGGACTCCAGGAGCCTGGGAGAGGAGAGGAGAGATGAGGGCAGAAGCAGTACTGTGCTGTGGTTCTGGAGGACAGGGTCTGAGTCTTACTCATGTCTCTACCGCCAGGAATAGGGCTGGCCCAGAGCACATACTGGAGGGGGGGAGGGGGCAAAGACAGGGAATGAGAAAATCACTTTGAGGAAGGACAACCCTCTGAAACTGAGGTCAGTGGAGTAGCAACTACTTGGAAAAATTGGAGACAATGGATTTGACCATTTACCTACATGGCCTATAGGAGACAGGCAAACATGAGCAGAGGGTACTCAAATGTAGAAGCCCTGGGAGCACTTCAACCACTAAGTACTCTTCCAAACAGTGAGCATTGTTTTTGAAAAAATATATTTAAAGTGGTATTAAAATTCCACACATAATAATGATAATAAAGATAATTTCTTCCTTTTCCTACGAGTTTTTCTTGTTTTTAGCAATGTTTTTGGATTTTTTTTTTTTTTAACTAAGATATTACTTCCTTTGGGAAGCCTTCCCTTTTGGACCCCAAAGTCTTTCTGGGCTCAAGTGTCCCTCCTGTGTGTCCCATAGCCATACAGGAGTACTATGTTGTATCTTCACTGATGGATCAGATATCATTAGGATGCTGCTCTACAGAGAACAAAAACTCAAGTGTGTACTTGCTCAGTGGCCCTGGGTTTTGTATCAGCACTGGTTAAAGGATGAACAAAGAACTATGCCAGGATTGAATCCAGTTCTTCACAAGCCAGTTAATGACTATGCCCTGATCTTGAGGTACAATCTGTTCTATGCCAGAGAGGAGAGAGGCTGGGGTGGGAGTAAAGGGGGCAGAGCTTGCTCTTGAGGAGCTGTTGGTCTGTAGGGAGACCAGCCTAGGAATAAGAATGAACGGAAGTTTGAAGAGCCACATCGAAGAGGAAAGCAGAGTTGTCTGCATCCCAGATGACCACTAATAGGGGAGGAATGAGAACGGAGCAAGTGCTGTTTGAGCTGGGTGTGGAGGAGAGGCGGGTAGTGAACTTGATGGAGGACACAGCCAATGTACTTTTCACCATGTATTCTGCAACAGGTTCAGTGACCAACTAGGGTGATGGGGTTACAAGCTCAGCAAGGCCCAGGGCCCAGTATCTGACTGTGGTCTGGATGAGGGACTAGATGTGAGGACAGACGTTTCTGAGAAGGTTCCTCACCTGCTTCGGACCTGGGCAGGCTCCACGTCAAAGTAGGGTCTCAGGATGTCGATGTTGGCATACAAGCTGAAGGCCCTGGAAGCTTGTCTCTTCCCTGCCTGCCACATCTGAAGGGAGATGCGTAGTGTGAAACTCATGACGCTGGATTGTTACCTGGTCCCTACTGTGTGGCTCTAACGGGAAAACCTTCATCAACTTGGCACAGATCTAGGGCCACTTTGCCATCTGCTTACCTGATCAGCCACCTGCCGGCTCAGCTGCCCCTTAAAGCCCTTCATGCCAAGGAACTCCCCATCCTCCTCTTCTGCAGCGGCTGCATCGGCATCGACCTCTTCCTCACGCAGGCGCTGATGCAGCTCACCCATGTCCTCGAAGCTGGAGCCCGAGGTATCGTCCATGTTCTCCATATCAATCACAGCCGAGCCTCCACCCTGAGAAGACAGTGACTCGTAGGGTGAGGGGCTCTTCTGTTGCTTCTTTCCGTTCTATGCTCATCTCACGCTGGGAGGCCTTGCTCTCTCCTCTGATGAGAACACGGCTTGGAACTGCTACCCACTGTGCCGTACTCCTTCCTTTCACTGCTGGCACAGCTCTTGGTAGCCACACTTCTGTAGTCCAGGGAAACCTACTACTTATTTTCCTACTTTCCCCCTCAAAGCTCCAAAGAGCTGCAAAAGGGCCCATCTACCTTTCCCCAACTCTCAAACACGCCTATTTTTAAGGAGTGTCAGTGAATCCTCTCCTCTAGCCCAACACTATGCCTGACCCAAAAAGACTTCCCAATCCGTCCGCAAAGCCCCGAACAGGCACAGAGACCCGACGCCCTCTGGAGCCTTAGCCAGGCCCTTTCACAACAGCACAAGCTCTACAGACTTTCGCGTGGAAGACTCAGACAGGACAGAAGGTTGTTGCAATGGAGCCGACTTCCAGGCCGCGAGAGAGAATAACAAACACACTCGGGACGGCAGTCAGCCCGGAGGCTGCGGGCAGGAGGAGCTCTCAATACCTGGATGTTTTCTTCGAAGCCTCCCCATTCTGGGCCAGCACCATTTCGGACGCCGCTGGCCGGCGTCGCCGTATTCGCCATGTCCCTCGAGGCTTCCCGTCGCTGAAGCTTGTGAGCGTGGGAATACTGTGAGACCCGGGCCCAAGGGGGGAAACGTCCAGAGGAGGGAGAGGTAGTATCAGCCGGAACGCCAAAATATCAGAAACCCGGATGTTTGGCCCCAATTGACGTCCGGAAGTGAAAGACGTGGACAAGGCGGGGCAAGATCTCGCGACATTTAGGCGTGCCGCGTTGCCGCGGAGACGGAGGCGGGTCCTAGTCCGCAGGCGCGGAGACGCACTGCTCTCACGGCGGGTGGTGGAAGATGGCGGCGGCGCAGGCGGTGGAGGAGATGCGGACCCGCGTGGTTCTGGGAGAGTTCGGCGTTCGCAATGTAAGCTCGGATCGTGGCTCGGGAGAGATGGGGGCGGGGCGGGACGGGGGCAGGGGCCAGGTGTGAGGCTTGGCCTCACTGCCCTTTCCTGGACAGATTTCCTGTTCGCTCTAGGTCCACACCACGGACTTTCCCGGTAACTACTCCGGTTATGATGATGCCTGGGACCAGGACCGCTTCGAGAAGGTGGGTGGGCCTGGAGGTGTTCAGACCGCTTGAGGGGCCAGACGTCACAAGTTGGTTTTGGGGGTCGCTGTATATTGAGCCATGTGCTAGGAGCTCCGTGGACGGGCGGTCAGACACGGTTCCCGTTCCTGGAACAAGTCGTTCACTCTCGGTTGGGTAATGGACCACGTAAAAAAATTATTCCAGTATAATAAAATAGTGATGAAGATGGCTGGGATGGGGCAGAGGAATTACATAGGTGTGATTAAGGATCAGTGAAGGAAGTGACGTGAGTTAAGTTTTGAACTTTTGAGCAAAGGGAATGAGAACTAACAGATATGTATCATTGCTTTGGTGAGGGCAGTGTGTGTGAGAAAGGACCTTGTAGCTTGAGTAACCTAAAGTTTTCTTCTTGCTGTGTGTGTTTGCCTACATGTGTATTTGTTCACACCAATCACGGGTGTGGCCGGTGACCCCGGATATCAGAGGAGGTGTTAGGTCCCAGTGGGTGCTGGGAACCAAACTCAGTTCTTCTGCAAGAGCAGTAACTGCTCTTAACTGCTGAGCCATTTCTCCAGCCCCATTGGGGAACTCTGTTGATGGCTGATTGTGTCATTTGATAAACAGGACAAGAGGAGTTCAATCCTCTTGTTTATCAAACTCCTGTGTCTGAAGACTACAGGTCAAGTGGGTGTCTGAAGTAAGATCAAAAGTGAGAGACCAAGTAGTGAATTGAGACCAGCAGTGAATTGAGGTCACCCAGGAGGTTAGAACCTGGGAGAAAGTAATCCTTAACTGTGTGGGTGGAAGAGACAGTTGAGAAGGGTATCAGGTAAGAGAAGGAAATTGGTGTTTGGAAACCAAGGGAATAGAGTTGGGAAAAGGAGGTATTAGAAAAGTCAGTGGCACAGGCCTTTAATCCCAGCACTTGAGAAGGCCGAGGTAGGCAGATCTCTGTGAGTTCCAGGACAGCCAGGGTTCTGTTACACAAAGAAACCCTATCTCAAAAACAAAACAACAAAATTGCAAGTATCAACTGCCCTAAATAGTGTGGGAAGTTCTGCTTTTTAACAGATTAGCTTCTGTGGGAGGTTTATTTGGAGCCACATTGCTTGTAAGACAAAACTGGGAAGGCAGGCAGAGTGGTACATGCCTTCAATCCCAGCACTCTGGAGGCAGAGGCAGGTGGATCTCTGAGTTCAAGTCAACAGAGTGAGTTACAGGACAGTTAGAGCTATACAAAGAAACCCTGTCTTGAACAACCTGAAAAAACAAACACAAAACTTATGAACGGGACTAGAGACAAAATGTCTAGTGATCATCTGGCCAGAGGAAGACTTTAGGATGAGAGTGTAGAAATATATTGGGGGATAGTGCCAGGGTGGAAGTAATCACAAAGGGAGGCATGAATTAAACAAGAGAAACAAGCTTCCCATTAGGTTTTCCCTGTTGCTCTAGAATTTCCGTGTGGACATTGTACATATGGATGAAAACACGTTGGAGTTCGACATGGTGGGAATTGACGCTGCCATTGCTAATGCTTTCCGGAGAATATTACTAGCTGAGGTATTGGAGGCCGTGGTAGTGGGGCTGGAGTGGGGAAGCTATATCACCACCTTATTTGTAGAAATGTTCCCCAAAGCCATTCCATTCTCACCTATAGTTGTTCATATGAATGGTTTTGAGGCCAGTCTTGGCTAGTGAAACATCTCAAAACTCTAAAAGCACAAAATAAAAAAGAGCTGCCCATCTTAACTTTCTCATATAGGGAGGTGGGCTTTGCAGTTGGATGATTCTGCTTCCCTGAGCAGGTGCCGACGATGGCTGTAGAAAAGGTTCTGGTGTATAACAACACATCCATTGTTCAAGATGAGATACTTGCTCACCGCCTGGGGCTCATCCCCATTCTTGCTGATCCTCGTCTTTTTGAATATCGGAATCCAGGTGAGAGACTGAGAAGGTGAAATTCTGAGTTAAGTTTAAGAGCTGTCCTGAAATGTGTTGTGGGCTCAGATCCCAGGTTTACTGTTGTAAAACCTCAGTCTAGGCAGTTGGCATTGTGTACATTGGCTTTTCATCTGGGAGGACACTTGCCTTTGCCTTAAGTTTGTCACTATATAGAAGCTTTTTGCATAGTGCCAGCACTCACATGTATTTTAATTCTTAAAAAAAAAAAACAAAAAAACTTTACGTGTACACACAGGTATAGAGGTCAGAGAACAACTTTGGAGCATGCTCCCTTCCTTCCGCCTTTTCATGGTTTCTAGGAACTGAACTCAGTCTCTAGGTTTGAGCAAGCAAGCACCTTCACTCTATGAGCCTTCTTGCCAGGTAGAGCTGGGCCAGGCATGGTGGTGCACATCGTTACTCCCAGCACTGGGCCAGGCAGGCAGAGCTCTCGTGAGTGCAGGGCCAGCCTGCACAGTGAATTACAGGACAGGCTAGTGAAACACCTCCTGCTTCTTCGCTTGTGCAGGAGAGGAAGAAGGGACAGAGATAGATACACTGCAGTTTCGGCTACAGGTCAGGTGTACCAGGAACCCCAGTGCAGCTAAGGATTCCTCTGACCCCAACGAACTCTACGTGAACCACAAAGGTGAGCAATGCTAAGGAAGAGGGCCCATGGCTGAAGGGTGCAAATTGCAGGATCTGGGATTTCTGACATATTTCCCTCCAGTATATACCAGGCATATGACATGGGTCCCCTTGGGAAACCAGGCTGATGTCTTCCCGGAGGGCACAATCCGACCAGTACATGACGACATCCTCATTGCTCAGCTTCGGCCTGGCCAGGAGATTGACTTGATCATGCACTGCGTCAAGGGCATTGGTGAGAACGTAGTGAGTCTGCGCTGAGTGGGGACAGGTCTGACTGCAGTAGTGCAGTGTAACCAAGGGCCTCAGTGGGGATGTTAGCAGCAGGCAGAAAGCCACAGTGCTTGTGTTGTCTCAGGTAAAGACCATGCCAAGTTCTCACCGGTGGCCACAGCCAGCTACAGGCTCCTGCCGGACATCACCCTGCTTGAACCTGTGGAAGGGGAGGCTGCTGAGGAATTGAGGCGATGCTTCTCGCCTGGTGTAATTGAGGTACAGGAAGTACAAGGTATGCTAGCTCATGTATTGTTGTGATCAAGACCCAAATGCATTTTCTTTGAAGGTGGCAGAAAATAAATGCTCTTTTCCTGATGGGCAAGGTGTCACATTGTTTATAGGGAAAAAGGTGGCCAGAGTTGCCAATGCTCGGCTGGATACCTTCAGCAGGGAGATCTTTCGGAATGAGAAGCTCAAGAAGGCTGTGCGGCTTGCCCGTGTTCGGGACCATTATATCTGTGAGTGACGTGCTGGTACTCTTTGGATAGGATTGAGAATGAGCCCCTAATAAAAGGTAACTCCTGCCAGAACTGAAGTATTTTCTTTGTTCTCTAGTTTCTGTGGAGTCAACTGGAGTTTTGCCACCAGATGTGTTGGTGAGTGAAGCCATTAAGATACTGATGGGGAAGTGCCAGCGGTTCCTGGATGAACTAGATGCAGTTCAGATGGACTGAAACTTCCACGGCGTGTCTGGAATGGCCTGGCTGCTCCTGGCTTGCGACCTTTACCCCACTGCACTGCTATGCCCAGTATGACTAGAGGTCCAATTCCAGTCTTATTTTCAGTCAATACATTTTATTAAATGTGTCACAGACTAAGACTTATGCCTTTGTAAGGCCTTTGTTGTAAATAAATTGATATCCTGGCAAAATTTTTTTCAGACTTTTCTTGTCTAAAAATATGGAGCCTTGCCTCAGAGCAGGTTGGCAAGCGTTTACATGCCCTAAAGCTTTCTGAGGCGGAATTACAACAGTTCTGTGGGTGTGGGGAAGACACAAGAGCTGTAGTTAGTGTGTGCTATGGCCTGTCTCCTGGGCTTCCAATGAAAAGTGTTGTCTTTAGCTTCAGACATGCTGCCACTGTCTGCCATTCCCTCCAGGACAGACTTAGAAGGCTGAGTGCCAGGCTTTGGTGGCAGGGATAGAGAGCTGACTGCTTACTAGCTTGGCTGGTCCATCAACAGGCCTTCCTATTTATTCCAACAGGAATGCTTGGAGTCACTGGTTGAAAAAGGAAAATAGGGCCCTTCTGTATGAAACATTTTTACTGACATGCAGATGTACTTTAGAGTTAGCATTTCTACAAAAGGTTCTATAAACAATAGAAAATTTCTAGCATGAAGTCATAGGATGTTAAAAATATTACAACATAATAAATACATCTAACGTCCTCCACAGCCCTAACCAGACAGGAGTAGGCAGCTATCAAGTTTGGAGCGAAACACTGAGATCACCCTCACAATCACACCCAAGCACCACACAGAAGAGGGCGAGGGATGGCGTCCTGTAGCCGTAGACAGTGAATTGCGTTCTAGTTGCCGTTTCTCAGCTTTTGCTCTCCAACTTTACCATATGTGCCAGAGGCCTGCACCAGGTCAAGAGTTGGGACTGGGTGGCCAGTGGGCCTGTCAGCACTCAGACACACACAGGTCAAATCTGCCTGTTAAAACAAGCAGGGCTAGCTCTCACACCCATCTTACTTCGTTTGCTTTAGAGACCTCCAGGACTCAAAGTGTAGGCTGTGACTTTTTAAAAATCTTAGAAATGACCCTTGAGAAGAGTCCAGAAACTTAAAGGACCACGAGATTTTCAAAGGCACCCGGACTCAGCTAGTCTCAAGAGGATCATTGGCTCTGCCAGCTTGTCAGATAGAAACCTAGTTAGTCTGGATTACTTTTGTACGACTGGTGTCCCATGACACTGAGTAGGCCTGAGGCTGGGGAAACCATGAGGGACAATCATAGAAGGGCAAGATGCCCATTTTAAGGAGCACAGCATTAGACTGAAATCTGTCCAGCTCTCGCCCCTGGACACTGCCCTCAGACTTCAGCAATAGCCTGTACCATGGATCCCACCAAGTGGCCAGATTCTAGCCTAAGATAAAGATAAGAAAACTGGCCAAATATGGTTTAGCATGTAGCACCTAGGCCAGACATGCCCCTGGGAGTAGAGAAGGATCCCTGTCAGCCCAGCAGCAAGGGGCTCAAGCAGGAACCTTGCCCAAAAGAAACTGGCTGAGCCCTTGCAAATTTGGTCCGTAGTGTTGGGCACAGCACCCCAGTCCTTCCTATCTGTACTAGTGTAGCTGCTTTGCGGAGAGGCCATTGTGCTCTAGCTTTTCTTGGAAAAGCCCAAATTTTAAGTTGAATGCAACTCCCTGGACCACCTCTCTGGAATGGTGTAAACCCCAACTTTTTACTTTAGCAGAATGACTTATGTCCTGCTCAGGACCCACTCTTCTCCAGCTGGATCTGGATCTGAGCTTCTCCAGGCTGATACAGTGGAAAGTGAGGTGGCAGTACGAGAAGGGCCTAGACATTAGCTACAAAGGGGAAGAAGAGATGACAACGAAGGCCGAAGAAGGATGCCCAAAAACTTGATTCAGGGTTCAAAGATGGTGGCCAGTCCACCCCCCTCACTGTCCAGCACTTCTGTCTCCAGCATTGGTTTCGCCTTTTTGAAAATCGAGGGAAGGTTCTTAATGTGAACTTCTTTTCGGAACTGCTCTCCCAAGGGTTTCTGTAGTAAACAAAGAAAGAGCTGTACTGGGTCCAGGCAGTGGGTCAGAGCATCCCCGAGCCCAGCCCCCGACACACACAGGAGTCAGCGACTAGGTGGGGTTTGAGTTTGCCCACAACATACTAACACAACAGGCAACTGTGTGGGGCTGGGAGCCCTACCAGGGATGGATGACTTACCCCGATGCAGCCAGCGACGAGACGTTTGAAGTGGTCCTTCCGTCGTTTATCAGCTGGTTTTTGATGGGGGGGCTTTAAAAGTTTGGAGTCAAATTGGTCCAGAGACTCCTTGTGTATTTCAGGGATCTGCTCCATTACTGCTCTTAACTCTAGGTACCTGGGACGCTGGTTAAATGAGAATAAACTCACTGGATGTAGGTTTGGCCTGTCGCCTTCCCCATATCCAACTCTCAGGGGCCGCACAAGCATTGTGGCATATAGCCAGGTTTAGGCCACAGCTCAGGATCCGGGAGCAAGGTTAAGTAAAGCGGCTAGACTGCCGGCTGTCCTGCCCTGATGCGCTCTCCACTTACCAGTGCCTCGTATATCTGGAAGGCCAAGTGGACCAGGGAAGCCATGCAGGCATCGTGCTGCCCATGCATCTGTAACCCTCTCAGCACACTGGTGAAAAGCCACGTGACAGCATCTGCGAGCAGGGTCCCAGACATCACCTGGGAAGACAGCTGTGCTCAGGGGCCACGGGAGCCTCCGGAGGGCCCGCCTCCCAGTTCTCCCAACTGCCTCAGCCCACTAGCCTCACCTGACCTTTCTGGCAGGCAAGGAGAAGAACGGTAATGACTGAATCTGAAAAGCCTCTGTCATGTTCTCAACACTCAGTCTCTTGCTTTTCTGAAGGCTGTGGAGTCTCTACAAGTTGGGGCCTGACTAGCAGAAGGAGGGCACTAGGGCAGGCCTCTAACAGTTACACTTGCTGGTTTTGACCTGTGCTCTCTGCTTCTTGTCTGCTAAAATCTGAGTCGCTATCACAATACGCTCTTACCACAATAATGCCGTGCTTTCTTTACCCACCAAGCCTCTGAGACTCAGTCAAAAGAAACCCTCCTTTCAGTCACTCTCTATAGGTGAATTTGGTCACAGCAACACAAAAGTAACGAACAGGACCTACATCTGTGGCATAGGCTATTCAGAACGGAGCAGGTTGGCAAGGCTTCAAGGCCTGCCTAGGGTGAAGAGTGGTTAAGTTCAAGGCTAGCTTGTCTCAAAATAAGAAGGAAAAAGAGACTTAGGCTGCAGCTCAGTGCTTGCCTAGCATGCTTCTAGCCCTAGGTCCATCTCCCACGCCCCACAAAAACAGATCCATCCCCCGAAAAAATGGTGATTAAGCATACTTGTTTGAGGAGAGGCCAGCAAAGCTGTGAGGTCGCCCTTTGGCAAGACAGAGTATCCTTCCAGGTCAGAGAATTAAACACTGTAATTAATAGTGCTGTGCAAACATCCTGAACAGGAAAGAAAGAAAGAGAACAATGGAAAAGAGATAACTTTACCTATAACTGCTTTATACACCAAGTCAGGTTTTTGTCCCAGCAGCCAGCCTGGGCTACATAGTGAATTCCAGGCCAACCAGGATGGGACCCTGTCTCTTTAAATAAATAAAAAGGAAAAGGGCTGGGGGGGGGGGGGGGGGGGAGAGAAATAACTGTATGTGGATAGACAAAAGCTCAGGCCTACAGAGGCAAATGCAAGGATTCTGCAGCGATATACCTGTATATTTACTGAGAGCATCTGCCCAGAGCAAAAAGAGTAGAAGCTGGACAATGAGCAAAGGAACCATCTGTCCCTATACCCACCTCATGATTCATCAGGCATTTGCCCAGGTCTGTGAGCTCTGCCACAGTTGAAGGGGTTGCCTCGGTGGCCATCATCTCTTCGTCTGTAAGCAATGCAGAATGTTATGCTCCATTTTCTCAGCAAAGAGGAATACCCAAACAAACAACCCCGCTAGCTGGAACTGAGCAGAGCTACACAGCCCTCTATCCACAAAGGCGGTAGATGCTCAGGTGTAACACACCTAGGTATGGACGGTACCCAGGAGCTACAGGAACTTCTGGGTGGTAACTGGCTGCAGACATTATGCTACTTCATATGTGAACGTTTATCCTAATAGGCATGGGTTCAGTTACTAGAGTATAAAAGGAAGCTCAGTCCCTTTCAGGATGACAGCCTACACTAGTGACAGAGACAGGGAATAAATGAAGAAATAACAGCAACGCAGGTAGCTGAAATAAAAACAGAGCAGAGGGTGGCAGCAGTGCAAGCCTTTAATTCCAGTACTTGGGAGGCAGAGGCAGGTGGATGTCTGTGAGTTCGAGGTCAGGCTGGTCTACAGTGCAAGTTCTAGAATAGCCAGGCTGTTACACAGACAAACCCAGTCTTGAAAAATCAAAACAAACAAATACATAAAACAGAAAAAAAAAATATACAGTGCTTGTGATGTTTGGCAGATTGGACATGAAGACCACTTGGAAGAGATAACATTTGATTGAGCAGAGACAGAATGAGCAAGAGGTGAGGGTCATGTCCACTGTAGGAATAAAATGACTTTGGATGAAAGAAACAGCAAGTTGGCCAGCACAAGATTATAGCTAAATTTATCTTGTGTGTTTCTCCAAGGGCGGAGCCCCGGCTCACTTACCATCTCCATTCGCAGCGGGAGCAGCGCTGTGGTCTGCAGTCTTCTTTGACAAACAACACGCCACTGGAAGAGAGCAGTTACTGGGTATCTATCCAACGAAGCAGGGGTCGCCTCTCGCCAACTGACCCCAGACCATTTCTGGCTATAGTGAGTAGATACTGTTTAAGTAATAAAAAGCATTCACCAATAGGAGGCATTCTGAGGACCCCAACCAGACTACGTGGGTTCTTCCTCCCGTCAGTCATCTAGGGGTACATGACAGATTCCTTTGAGAATCAATGACCAGGGAAGTAACATATCCTTGACTACTTTGGATTGACAATAAATGACCAGTACTAAATTTATCAACATTGCTGAACACAGAAATTGATGTCCATATCCAAGAATTAAACCTTTTCCTATTTTGATCAAGATAGAAAGTTATTGCCAACATTAATTCAAATTCTTATTTTGAATCCCTTTCTTATTTGGGCACAGTTTA